TTGAAATATATGTTTCAATGCAGCGGCCGACCGGTGCAGGCACGTGGTGCTTGATGCACGATGGCAGGTGGTGGAGGTAATTGTCTTGTAGGCAGCAGAGGCATAAATTCTTCAATGACATTGTGCTCCAGGGAGCAAACCCCAGAAGGGGTGAAGGAGGAAGTAAGAAAAAATTGTGTATTAATGTATGGTCCATAACTCTACTTACTATGGACCCTTAATAATAATAATAATAATAACATCTTTATTTGTATAGTGTTTTTGAAGCCAGCCAGCAAGTGCTTCACATTATAAAATACAGGACCAACAGAAGAATAAAGTAATAGAAATTTAATAAATGAAATGAAGTCTATAAATCATTAAAAACCAAATTGCTTCACAAGACTTCAATGACCAGACTGGGGAAAACATACCTAACACTGACTTAAATACATGTGGACTAATGACAACAATCAGAAATGGCTGGTGAACAATCCACACGGGGTTAATGAGGGGGCGTGGCACACGGAAGGAGCGGACGAGCGGGCAGGACAATAATATTCACAGCACAATTCGGGGGAGATGTTCACTATGCGACCTTTAGCGGTACACTGACACTTTTGCACACATTCTCTCCTTTGTTTTGTCAAGAACCAAAAATGTGTTCAACAGAGACTTTTGTTTTTTTCGGAACTACCCACCAGGTGTCTCTTGCTGTCTGGTGTCAGACTTCTCTGCGTTTCCCTGTTGTGTGTTCAGAGTGGTTATTGTTGTGTGCACTGTCCCTTTAAGGCCCCCATTAAGAGCCACCCTGTTTGAAGCCGTCTCGCCTCGTTTCCTTTCTGCTGCTGCATTGCCTCGGTCTGTCAAGCGCTACATTGCTGTCAGAAGTAGGATGCCAGAAGCGGTCCTACTGGCACTGCTGGAGCAAGCTCTTCACACCATCGTTTGGCAAGCCCACTCCAGCCTGGCAGACCTGCAGGCTGCTATGGAGCGGTGAATGGGGAGAGGTGGTGGTTTTGCAGCTAAGGCGGCCCAGCACCACAAGCTTCAGGAAAAGACATTTCCCTAGCTGTGGCAAGAGGGAACACTGGGTACACTCTTGCCCAGTAGTCTGTCCCAAAGCCACCAGCAGGGAGCAGCAGAGTGAGAGGTGCCACAGAGTCCCTTCGAAGTGCCCTAGAAACATGCAGTGGGTCCTCAAGCCACCCCCGTTCAGGAAGACGTCAGTGATCATACTGTAGAAGGCGGGTGTCCGACCGCTCACCAGCCATTGAAGGTTCCGTGCTTGTCAGCTGC